GGGATTTCTGTCTCTGGAATGCTAGGATTAAAGGTGTGTGCTATCACTGCCTAACTAGTGGCTTTTCTGTTCTCTGACCCCAGATAAGTTTATTAAGGTACACAGTATTTTGGGGAACACAATACCACCACACTAGCCCTTTCCAGTTCCCATTCTGTCTCCTCCTCCTCCCGAAGGACCCCCAATCCCACAGGCTTTGAGAAGGCTGTCCAGCTGGGCTAACTGCCCAGGATGAGCACATCTTTGTAGATCTCTCTCGACCACGGCTCTTGCTTTAGGCAATGCTTTAGGGCCAGCAGCTTTAAACATTACAGACTCAGCTGCTTGGAACACATGTGAGCCGGCCTTTGGGTGCTTCAACCGAGGAGCAGAGACATCATGTACTCAACAGCATCTCTACTATCTGTCTTTTGTTTCAGAAGGAAACCCACCGACCTGTCTGCAGTGGGTGTTGTCAACTCAACACTAGAATCACCCGAGAAGAGTCTCACCTGTCTGGATCAGGTTGGTCTGTGGGGACTGTCTTGAACACCTTACTTCACATGGGAGACCCTGCCTGGAAATGGGTGGCACCATTCCTTGGTTTGGGGCCCTGGACTGTATGGGTAGAGAAAGCTAGCTGAATATTAAACTTCCATCAATTCATTCTCTCCAGCTTGACTGTGGTTTTGACTAGCTGGTTCAAGTTCCTGCCTCTACCTCCTATAATAACGAACTTGGAACTGTGAGCTAAAATAGACCATTTTCTATTTCTCCCCTAGGTTGTCAATTATTTTTTGAAGCTACAGAATAAAAACTAGGGCAGACACTGGGACTGAGGAAGTGGAGTCACAGGCGAGTCATGACCACATGGCTCTTAAAGGCAGTTGTCTGGGGAAGAATGTCAGTGTATGGCATGTTGGACTGGAAAAATGATTGAAAGGTGGAAGCACGCTCAATGGGTAGCTCTGGGGGAGCTTGGAAGACAGAAAGGCCAAAGGAAACTTGAGCAGCAGAGGTCTGGCTTAAGGTCTCAGTGGGGAACAGACTCCAGCAGTACTGGGTGGGGGCCACCCTTGTGGTATTTTGGCCAAAAATCTGAATCTGTTCTGCCCGTATCCTGAGGAACTGAAAGAAGTTGAACCTAAAGATGATGGACTGGCTTGTTGGTAGAGGAAATATCTAAGCAGGATGATGTTTGCGGTGGTGTTGAGGCAGCAACTGTAACAGACAGAGATCAGCATCACCGCAGAGAAGCGGCCTGCCCGCAGCGGGGCCAGAGGCAAGTGCCTCCTCAGTCTGCACAGCTGATCCAGCTGTGGTCTAAGGTGGCCAGGCTAAGTCTCAGACTGGCAGCAGAGCCTGGCAGTGCTGGGTCATCTGCAAGATTCTAGTTTTGAATGTAAAGATGTAAGGCTGGGGGAGTCACGGAGAACAGCTGAACAGCTGAGGCTGTTGTAGAGTATTATCTTAACTAGGCAAAGATGTGTTATATTTGTTTATATTGCACAACATTAACTGTGTGAAGGTGTACTACATTCATTTATGCTGCACTTAATTATATAAAGCTGTTGAATCTGTTTCACCTTGCCTGCCGAAGGCACCTGGTCTAATAAAAAGCTGAACGGCCAATAGCTAGGCAAGAGAAAGGATAGGCAGGGCTGGTGGGCAGAGAATAAATAGGAGAAAACTAGAAAGAGAAGGGAAGAAAACAAGAAGGAGGAAAGAAGGAGGGACATGCCTGGGGCAAGAAGCCAGGCAGACACCAGACAGACAGACAGACAGACAGACAGACAGACAGACATAGAGAAGCAGGGAAAGTAAGATACAGAAGTAAGAAAGGTAATAAGCCCTGAGGCAAAAGCTAGATAAAGTTTAAGTTAATAGAGCTAGCAAGAAACGTGCCTAAGTGAAGCCAAGCACTCAAAACTATTAATAAGTCTCTGTGTCATGATTTGGGAGCTGGTTGGTGGCCCAAAAGAACAAGTCTCATCCATGAGGCCAGGCATCCTGCAGTAGATGTGGAGAGGCCCCGGGAAGCCACTGCCTGAAGCTGTGAGGGTGATGCTTCAGTTGCTATGGAGACTCCAGGATACTGGAGATGCTGGGACCACGAGACAAGAAGAGCTGTAGATGTGAAGTGGGGTCTGCCTGAGCCTGGGAGAGAAGCTATGTGTGCTGAGGAGACAGAATGGGGAAATGGGGATACCCATGGCCTTTGGCCCAGATTCCATTACCAGTCCTAGGTGCTGGCACTGGAGCTGCTGGTTTGGGCTTTGACTTGATGTGACTGTCCTTGCAACACTCTCCTTTTGGGACACCAATGTTTGCATATAACTTTCTATCATATAGCTCAGTTAAGGGACTTTGGACTTTTTAAAAGGTTGGCATTTTTAAAAACTTTGGGGACTTTAAAAGTTGGACTGTACTGTGTACTATGGAAAAATAAAACATGAGACTTTGAGGGGAGGGGATGGAAGGTTATGGTTTTAAAATGATGGTTGTGTGTCAGATTGACAAGTAGTGGAGCTGTCAGTTAGGTGACTGGACACAAGCTACAACCACCCGGGAAGAGCTTAGGTGACGTGGGAAGACCTGCTTTGAAGGTTTGGGTCCTGGACTGTGGAAGAGAAAGCTAGCCGAGCACTAAGCACGCATGCCTTCTTTCTCTGTCTACTCTGGGCTGTGGCTGTGACAGCCGCTTCACGCTCCTGCAGCCCTGACTTCCCCCTTGACGGGCCTGGAACTGTGAGCTAAACAAACCGTTTCTCCCTGGGCTGCTTCTTGTCGGGTGTTTTATCTCAGCAACAAGACTGAAACCAGGACTCTGTCCAGGGAGTCCCCACGTTCTAGAACGGGCTGTTTTTCAGTAGTGCTTAGCTTATTCCACCAATGCTGACCTTCTGTAAACGAGCAGGTCGAAGTGTTGATTAAACACGCGCACACGGAATCCCGGAAGAGAAACCTTGACAGCTGATGCTGGGTGCTCACATTAGACTGCTTGACCCACTGTGACCACGGAAAGAAAACGCGGTTCGGGTGCTTTCAGTCTGACCCCGAGTCCGATTAGAAGCGCCCCGCCACAGGGAGAGAATGTGAGGTCCAAGCACATGTGAGCTCAGGGAACAAGAGGAGGAGAACGTGGAGACTGTAAAACCAGGAAGGAGGAAGAGACCAGATGGACTGCAGAGCTGGTTACTGAAGGAAACCCAACCTTGCTGGGGTTGTTTTTCAAAGTACAGAACACACACACAGCCCTGTTTGCCCCCAAAACACACGTGTCTTTACTGACTGCCAGGCCTGGGGGCTGAAGCACTGTCCCAGGGGCTCTCCCTTACTCAGGTTTGCCTGTACCCCCAGGGGCAGCAGGGTGCTGTTGGCGACCCTGGTGCAGCCCGGGCAGAGAGAGGCACGGGTATGCCTGACACCCTTCAGGCTCAGTCCTGTGTGGCACCCTGTGGTCTTAGAGGCTGCATGGCCGGCACTCTGGTTTCTGAGGCTGAGCTCTCCCCTCAGCCGGCCCAGCCCCGTCTTGCTCATTCTGCTGCTCTGCAGACCGTTGACGGATGACTATTATTGTCAAAGCTGATCAAGGGGGCGGGAGGGGAGCCAGATGTCTTGCCCTTCTCATACACCGTGTGGGTAGGACTGTAAACTTGAAATGTTGACGCTCATGGACTATTCCTACGCAAATGGCTGGTTTCTGGCACAGGGGTCCTACAAGGTTGGCACCCACCGCGCTTGCTGAGCCTGTCTTCATGCCCTCCCTGGCCTAGGCCATGCTGTGCCAGGCAGCAACCGGCAGGCTGACCTTCTGCACCGGTGCCAACTCCACAAGTCCCTCCTCCAGTCGGTGCCCGTGCCGCCTAGCAGCGAGGTCCTCCCTCTGCTCACTCTGGGCCTTGTCAGGTGGGAGGAGGGAGCAAATACTACTTACCAAGAAAAATGAGGTATTTCCAAGCCAGATTTAAGACGGCTTGCCTCCAGCAATGTGACTAATGGCTGATTTTATTCTATGAACATGAAAGACGGCTCTGTAAACCACAAAACACAGGCAATGCAGAGTCCCAACATCAGGTCACCTGAGAGAACTCTCCTGTGCAGGTAAGGAGGTGTGCAGCCAACCCCCCTGCCTGAGTTACACTCACATGCACTACACGCCATGCTCAGCATGAGAGCTCCTCACTCCACTCATGGCCTCAGTCACTCCACAAACTCCGTCTAAGTCACCAACCCCAACGAGGACATATCTGGTCCTTCCCAATGTGCTATAAAAAACAGGAGCCAGCCATCCATCCATCCATCCATCCATCCATCCATCCATCCATCCATCGAGACTTTGTACCTGGTGTCTACACCGCTGGTATTATTACCCTTATTCTCAACACACTGACTTCGCCATCTTCACTTCCTCAACTGTTCAACATTTTAACATGATTTCCCTGGGTTAAATAAAATGGAAATTTAAAAGATATTTCCAAATGATTTTTAAACATTGTATTTCCAAAGATGATTTTTAGAGAACCAATGAAAACAGGAACTATGTAACTCACCAGAGTCACAAGTGAGGTAGTTTCTTTTTAATTAAGAAATTCTAGGGCAGTGGTTCTCAATCTGTGGGGCGCAGACTCTGGGGTTCAATGACCCTTTCACAGGGGTTACCTAAGGACATTGGAAATGCCAGGTATTTGCATTACGATTCATAACAGTAGCAAACTTACAATTATGAGGTAGCAACAAAAATAATTTTATGGCTGGGGGTCCCCACAACAGGAGGAACTGTATTAAAGGGTCGCAGTGTTAGCAAGGTTGAGAACTACTGCCCTGGGGAAGAATCAGAGGAAAAAGAGGATGAATTTGAAGTAAACACATTATATGCATGTGTGAAATTCCCAAATACTAAAAAGGGAAAAAGGTTTTAACTCTTAAAAAAATATTTTTGAGACAAGGACAAAGTTATAAATGTGCTCACAGTTAAGACCAAACTGCGCAATTTCTCAAAACAGCTTTAGATGAAACAGTTTTAAGAATTCAATTAAATATTTATTGAACAAATGCAGACTAAAGGAACCAGGGCTGTATCAACCACCTCAAATCATCATGGGCTGTCACACAGGAACAACACAGAGGCAGCCAGCATCTCTACACAGGATGGGGACTGGCAGCAGGGGGGCGGCCTGGGCTGTCCCCGGCTCGGGAGCTTCCCTCAGCACACAGCACCCAGGCCCCTCCCCTCTTCCGAAAGGAGACGTCAGCACTTGAGTTTCACAGGAACACAAATGCTGCCATCTCACTGTCCACCATCCACCTCATGCAATGGATGCTTGCACATACTGGGAAAAAAAATGTGGCATCGACGAGCTCCTCACCAGGAGATGGTCTCACCACCCTCAGCTCTTTGAGTCTACATCAGTGATTCCTTGTTCTGGGGTGGGAAGAAAGAGCACATTCTCCGGAGTGCGAGTGACAATGTGGGTTAGGCACTGCCTGGGGACAGTCCTCCTCAAACCCCAAGCACATCACTACAGCTAGAGGCCAGTGGTATCCAAGAGTGTGGTGTGTGCCACAGCGCCCTCTGCTACTTGAAGCAGGACAGCTTGTGTTCCGAGTCCAGTCATCGAGGCTGGCTGCATAATACTGATGACTCCAACCAAATGAGGACTGCTCCCAGGACAGTCAGCAGTGTCTGAGGAGGACACTACAATCCGCTTCTTCTTCTTCTATGTGCATTTTATCACACCCAAAGGACATCGAGGTGCTCACCCTGTTCAGTGAACTCAGAATAAAACTCCACATCTGTTTGCCAGTGACAGGGTCTGAAGGTGGACCTTGAACTCCGAGTGATCTATCAGTTTTCCAGGAAAGCCACGTAGTCGGTCAGCCTGGCGAGCTGCTGCTCGTTGGGGATTGGCGGAACTGGGGCAGGCTCTGTGTGACAGTGAGGGAAGCATACTCTAAGTTAGCCAGTGGTAGGCCAGAGCACCTAGCCTGCCACTAGCCCGTGGAGGACCTGAACAAGGGAACTTTCTTGTGCTATCTGGTTTTAGACAAAAATCATGCCCGCCAGAGTCTGGATGGTTTTGCTTCAGACAAGAAGTCTCCATTTGATCAGCCTGGCTGTCTCAGACAGACATGCCTCAGAGTAACCGCTGTTGCTGCGGCAGGCTATGTAAAGACTCAGACATGTCCTGTGTGCAGCACCTCTTCAGACCCCAGCTCGGCCTGGACAGCCCCCACCATGGGAACGGGGTAAAGAACAGCCCCCACGTGCACCTCATGTGTCCGGTCCAAACAGAACACTGCACTGTCAACAAGCAAGAGCAGCACAGGCACAAGGATCCAGCCTCAGGGTTTACATGCTAATGCTGACTCTGGCACGCCAGGCTGTGGCGCCTTCTGAGGACATTCCAGAACCCCAAGAGGCCCTGGCATGATGGCAGGTAGTTCTGGGCTGGGCTACCAGGTGCCGCCACTCCAGCTTAGCTACATGGAAGCCTGGGGTTTCCTTCTTATAGCCATGTGCACTCACACATCTGCAGAATTTATCCCTACACACTACAGAAAACCCATCAGCAAACGATGCAACACTTAAAATGTCCACGTGAAAACACGTACCTGACAGGGGAATAAACCGGTTCAAGGAACCGTCCAGGGCTCCTGAGGCTAAACAAAGAGAAAGACAGTTAGAGACGACCAAGAGAAGTCATGTCAGGACCAGGACGGTGACGCTCACCCACTACAAACACGCGGTCTCAGATGGAGAGAGGACTGTGACCATCTTGGACACTTTGTCTTCAGTCTCCGTGAATCTACAACCTGGGGCTGCACACTGACCTCTGTCTAAACACAGGTGCCCAGGGCAGGTGAAGGGAAGTAGGGTGATGCAGGACGGTTATAATGAGGGTGGGACACCCAGTTCTAAAGACTGCCCGGAAAGGACACTCGTGTACGCAGGAGGAAAAGGCACACAGGGATGCAGACTGAAACAACGGGCAGGGCCGGGGACTGACCAGAAGGGAAAGTCTCAAGTAGGTGACCTCCAATGTCACTGCTCTGACGTCATTTGTCTCTGAGGACCCACCTACCTGGCTTCCTGGGAAGAACCATTCTTGTGGCAGAGTCGGCTTGCCATCCTTGTTCCAACACACCTGAAAGTGCAGAATCACACACAGCTGGAGGAGAGCACATGTGTCCGCCTGACCCTCACTGCCACTCCATGCCCTACTCCATCACTGTGCTCCATGCCCTACTCAGGTGTTACGTAGTTACTAGAAGGTTACTACGGGGTTGTATAAACTTATTCTGAAACATCCTGAACAGACTGAAAGTGTTACTTTAGTCTGGGGCTAGTCTAATCCCTGACAAATGGTTAGTCTTCTGTAGTCATGACCTAATTAGTCTAATTCCAAACATATAGAAGAAAGTTCTAGGCCATCCCTCGGAGCATTCTGTAGTAATAATGACTAATAATGCAGGTGCGAGAGCCCCATACCACAACCAACTGCCCACAAAACAAAACACCGCCACCCACACCACAGCTTCCAGGCCCCCCGCGCCGCCCCCCACCCCCAGTTGTCCCAGGCTCTGGGAACTTAAGGAAAACTTAAAGGAACGACACGTGATGGTCTCTCATCTCAGTGGGAGAATCAGAACTGTCAATCACTGTGGAACAATGTGACCAAGTACAGGCAGCGTTGTACCCGTGAGTAGGTGAAGAGTGACAACGGGCACTTGGGGACGGCCAAGGCCCCAGGGAAAAGAACTAAAATGCAGTGTGGAGACAGGACTCTTTCTGAGGAGGTAAGGGTAAACCTGGGCGCTTCGGTCAGTCGGGGAGTGCTTTCTAAAGCAGCTGTGCAGATGTCCACACAGCTGCACAGGGACACTCCTGTGCCTGGTACCGGTGCCACATGGAGGTGCTGTGTGGTGTGGGTTTTGTATCACTTCCTAAAGAAAACCCACCACCTCAATTCCAAAACCCTTCTGGAGCTCCAGAGGAGCAACAGCGAACCTATGATTTCTGCAGCTTCTGGTCCCCGTAAGGAACAACAAGCTCCGGTACCTTTCACCGCTTCCTCCACAGGAAGCCCGACAAAGGCTGCGAAGTCATCGGCGACTATGGAGGTGTAGGCTTGAGAGACCAGGGCGAAGGCGCGTCTCCTCGTTGCATCTGTTGTGGGTGGGGAGGGTTGGCGGCAGGAAACAAGAGATCAGGACTCCTAAAGACAGCTGTCTTCCAGTTTTTCTTTACAGGCAAGACTAGACCCACCCAAGCGGACGGACACTGCACACCCAGAAGGCTCCAGTGAGCACACCCATTCCTCACCTCAGGTGTCAACAAAAGCTACAGGGTGGAAGGCAACCCCCACAAGACCCCATCCTGAAGGATTCAGGTACAAACACTTTGCATTTCCTTTGCTCTGTTTCACTTGAAAACACTAGCAGAATGGATGAGAACACAGCTGTCCCTCTCTCTCAGAAGGGTCTCCAATACAGGACTCCCCCAGCACAGACGCTCAAACCTTACCCCCAGCACCTGCCCCTAACTTCCAAGTGTGCATCAAGTCAGGACCCTGAACCCCAAAACTCAAGGCCTGACTCTCAAGAGAAGGTGCTGCCAGGCCCCAGCACAAGAACTCTTCCTGGAAATAGCTTTCCCCATTTCCTCATGCTCTTACACCTACATTAAGAAAATTCCAGAATGAGACGAATGCCCCATCCAACCCAGCCAGTCTTCAGGTACAGTGCCCTTTTGGTAATACAAGGCTCCTCCAGAAGGCTGCCAACCTGCTTAATAAATATTCAGATTTTACAGTCCACAGGTGAGGCCACTGGACATATAAAATCAAGCCCCTGCCACACAGACCCTCCCTCTGCAATGTCAACCAAGCAGAGCAGGTCCTTCCCTTCAGGTCCCTTTTGCTGCAAACTAGTCCCTGACCCAGACGACTCTTCACATTCCACTCCCAGGCTCTGGCCCCCTTGTTTAGCAGCCTGAGAAAACACCTCTTACAGTACTCCTGTGAACATGGGCTTGCTGACAGGAACTAAAATGGGGTACGTCCTCAGTCCCAGGCTTTCTCAGGTCTGAAAAACTGCACATCCAAGGGGCCTGGAAATGGCTCAGTGGTAAAGGCGCTTCTATCCCAGCCTGGAGACCTGAGTGCGTCCCCTAGTGCTCATGTCAAGATGGAGGAGAGAACCCTCTGCCCACCCTGTGCCCACCACGGTATGCAGTCTCCCCACACAAACATGCCGACTCTAAGCTGCACCCTTCCTTTCCCACGGAGGCTGCTCCACCACTACTCCTACCCCCTCCCCCTCCCCGCTGTCTTTAGACTTGCACCCTGCTTGAGTCTACCAACCTCCAGCAGAGGGTACGGAAATTTCCCTAGGAAGGAGACAGACATTCAGTGGGAAAGAACCAAGGCAGCCATGGCAGGAACATCCATGCAGCAGGAAGTGTGCACCATAACCCTCTCCCACCATTTAAAAATCACTGTCTCCAGTTCAGTCTGGTCAGATTTCTGGAGTAGGAAGAGACAGCCGAACGAGAATGGAAGAGAAAAGCAGCAGGTCTGAGGAGAGGCAGGGAGGCTAACAAGAACGGAAGAACACTCACAGGGGCAGGAGCAGGCTGACAGTGGATGCAGAAATAAAGGCTCTGTGTTCTAGTGCTAACAGCAGCCACACACTGCTCCCCAACTTCCTCTACTGACACCCTCCACAGCCATGGAGTCAGTTCTGTCCTAGAGTCCAGTAGTACCGGCCCTCCTCCCATCCCCTCAGGCTTTGGGTGAGGGCGGCTGTTAGGAACAACTGCCCCCTCTGGGCTTTGCCAGCCCTTTCTGGCTTTCTGTAACGAACAGCTCTCCCACCAGGTTCTTCAGCCAAAACGTCTCTGATTTTCTAATAGAACCGAGTGGTTCAGACTGAACTGATGGTGCTATGGTTTGAATACACTGTCCCCACAGGTCTGTGTCTGAGCTCTTGGTCCTCGGCTAGTGGTGCTGTTTGGGGAAGTTGTGGGACCTTTAACAGATGAGGCTGTGGTTGTTCTTAACTAGAAAACAAATTTATAATACACTGAAAAGCAAAATATCAAATCTGCAGCAATTGCAATCTGTTTCGAGACTGCCCTTACCAGGCAGGCATTTTACAGAGAAAAGGGTGGGATGTGCCATTTAGGGATCGGGGGCTTTGTTAAGTCTCAAGATAATCTTCTTGGATAGAATAGAACAATGTCTCAGGCCGTGACCAGTGTGTACAAGTCAACTCTTCAATTCTGTTTCATAACAAGGAAGTGAGGCCAGGAGGTAGATGTGCCCAAGTGAAAACTAAAAGCCTGGCTCAGAGATCAAATTCCAGCATGCTACACTAGACAGAATGGCTGTCTGTGGGCTGGAAGGAACTCTCAGTTTCAGGGAGAATCCAGTGTGAGGTGGTACTGGAAAGAATAAAACACACAGAAGCCTCACTGGATGAGGAGGGAGCCCCTCCCCGAGTCCTGCCTATCAGCCCGCAGTGCAGCACCCGGCAAAGGCAGCCTGCACTGACCAGACTGAGCTCATCCTGTCAGCCCTAGCCTCCTGTGACTCCTCCCCCTGCCCGTGTCTACCTTGACACTCGGTCCCTGCTACTCAAAGCAGCCACTTCCTGCTTTGTCACTGACACTTCTGCTGAAGGCTGACCCGGGACGACTGCAGTCGACGGGAGCAGCAGTCCTCGCTCTCTGTTCCCAGTCCACCCATGTCCTTACCCACTGATGCGGACCTGCTCACCAACGGAGAGAGCACACCAAGGGTAGGCAGTGACTACAGAAACGAGGAAGAGCGCAACCATGTAAGAGAGGTCACTGGACGATGTGTGATGGGGCTGGGAAGATGGCTCCGCGGCTAAGAGTCTGGATGGGAGCTGCTCTTCCAAGACCCAAGCCTGGCTCCCAGCTTCCATGTGTGGTGGCTCAGAAATGCCAGTGAGTTTATGTCAGAGGATCCAATGCTACTGGCCTACTACACGAGTGTGTGCTCGCTCGCACGCACACACGCATGCACATGCACGCGCACGCACGCACGCGCGCACACACACACACACACACACACACACACCCCTAAAGTCCATAAAAAGAACATGAGAGAGTGACCCGGAGAGACTGGAAGCACCTGCAGGGGAGCGTGAGACGGGAGGGAAGTGGGGACAGAGCTACTATGTGGCAGTGCCCCATCATGCCAGGCCTCTAATCTTCCAAACTGAGCCCCAAGACTCTGAGCTTGTTCCTTTGACAAGATGTACACAGGGACACGACATCCAGCAAAGCCAGGGTTAACAAAGTCCAAAGTCTGTGTATTTGAAAATACACAGACCTAAAAACAATCTTGACCTACCCATACCATGAACTTTAGTTATTGCCAAGTTTCATTTTAACAGCCAAGAACCTTTCACAAGGCCACATGTGTGGTACTCACCAGTAAGTAACCCAGGAGTAAAGGACAGAATGGGCTATACAGTGAGGCCCTGTCATAAACTTCCAGCTCCCACAAAAATAATGATGAAGAGGATAAAAGATATTACAAATGGAGTAAATAGGATCTGGAATCAACAGTGACAGCCTCTGCTCCCGCCCCCGCCATGTTCCCCAGTGTCCTCAGTAATGAGATGAAGGATCACAATTAGCACAGATCAAATCTGAAAGGCACCCATAAATCAGAACTGTCTGCTTCCAGAGTGCACACCGACACAGCACAGCCATACCTCCAAGGGCTCCAAGGACAGGCTTAGTGTAACACGATTTTGAACCACAAAGAAACACTACCTCTAAGGGCTTCCATGATTGGCTGCACAGTCTCTGACCACTGGTGGGCGTTGATGGTGGTATAGATCCCAGGGAAATCTCTCTGCCAGATTCGCTGTCCAACTGACCAAATCCCCCCAAGTTCAGAATTTGCCTGCAATAAAAATTGTTGCCTTTGAAGAAATTCACTCTGGAATTAATAAGACTGTATCTTCAAACAAAATCTCAGAAATGACACGAAATTTGTTAGCTATATCATTAAAACACACACTACTGGTTTTAGGAGATGCAATCACTGTTGGAACAGGAGTGTCCAGCCTGCAGTCACAGGGCCGAGAACAGGTATAAACTGTAACCCTTTTTCCTTTTTGTAACTCCCATGTCCAGTTCCAGACTGTGAACTTTGCAGGTGATAAACAGTTCTGCAATGTCCAAAGGTTGGATCTGCCTGATTCCAAAACGCTGTGAGCAGTAATGTCAACAATTTATATAATGAATGTTTTTACCACAATCACAAAGCATAAGGAAGTAAAAAAAAGTTTCGGAATGAAGTGTGGGGATCAATTACCTTAAGCACTACTATTTAACCCTAAGGTGCTGGCATTGACTCAGGACAAAACTACCCGAAAGCTGGTTAACAAGGCAATGTCAACTGCAGAGCCTCTGTGCAGTTCCCATTCCCAGCAGCTCGGCTCTTCCCATTCACCCCACGTGCCACTCCTGACTCTTGTTCCACTCTTACCAACAGAAGTTCAGGGAAAGGAAGGAAAGTGAAATAAAACCTTACTTCATTCTACTTGGCAAGAAACTTTCCTAAAGTTATTGCATTTACTCTCCCATCCCAAGTAAGACATTTAATAAAGTCATCTTAATGCAGTGAATGTCCACGTACACAATGCCAGTTTTCAAACAGCCATCACTGCAGGAAACGACATAGTCCGCTGCAACCCCCAGCCCTGCATCTAAACTGGTCAGCTGTGAACTGGCCAAATGCACAGCAAGGCAGGCCTTAGGAAACCTCATCAGTATACGAACAAAATTTCTGAACCACCCTGTCAGAGAAACCTGAAGGTTTCTAACTTTAAGATTTGATTAACTCCAGTTTCTGTGATATGTATGGGAAAGAAAAGAGGAACTGGGGGCTGTCATTTAAGTCAATGCCAGTATTTTTAAAGCAACAGGGAATGCTGTGGAATACTTACAGACTTTATAGCAGGTGGTATCCTCTTCCAAAGATATCTTGCATTATTCCTAATTTATAGAGATCAATTAAAAACAAGTCATCTTACTTATTACATGGAATGACCAGGTTCTAATGTAAGCACATAAAAGAACACCTACTAATATACTTCACAGGACAATTCAGTTTTATATGAATTTGTTCTGAGGAAAAGCAGTTTTCCAGAAGGGAGGAAAAAAAAAGAGTATGAAATAACCCCTTCCAAGGCAACCTTTTTTATTTTTTGCTGACTTTTTAAAATTAACAATCCAAATCCTGTACTACAGCAACACATTCAAACCACAGACTTACATAAAACTAACTGTACAACCACTCGGATTTAACAATGTATCCATTTAAAGGCTTTGATGTGTCCCTCACAATACATGTGCACACAGTGCTGTTATAATTAGGAGCCCTTCTAGTGGGCACAGGGCTTAAGGGGCTGGACCATGATCACAAAACAGAAACAACTTCTCTGTGTATACTGAAAACCTCAGCTGAGTGTCTGTAAAAACATCACCAAGGCTTTGGAGCTGCAGGAGCCCTCTACGCTCTAGCACACTCACGCTTTCTGCTTCCCACCCAGGAGGACTAATTAAAAAACGCCTAACGCTCCTGGCTTCCCAATGTTCTTTTTTTTGTGTGTGGTTTTTCAAGACAGGGCTTCTCTGTGTGGTAGTCCCTGACTCTCCTGGATCTCACTCTGTTGACCAGGCTGGCCTTGAACTCAAAGATCCGCCTGCCTCTGCCTCCTGAGTGCTGGGATTAAAGGTGTGTGCCTTCAGACAAAAGAGGACAGGTCAATGGCTCCTGACACTAGTTTTTTCTAAAGAACTTACCATTTTTTTTTTAAGGTATATGTAAAACACACACACACACAACAACAACAACAACAAAATTGAGCCTAATTATTATTATGACTGAATAGGAAACAACATATAACAGGATTATAATAAAAGACACCTATGTGTCATATGTACTTTCGAATAACCTCGAGCAAGCTGCTGCTCTTTCAATTTAGGTAAAAGGTACTACTTACATGTCATTCTGGAGCAAATACAAAGCTAAAAGTTGACCATACACTGGTGGTGTGGCAATTCCTCCAGGAGCCTACAGGGACAAAAAGAGAAAAACAAACAAACAAACAAAAACTCATTTCCTAATACACTTTCAGAAAAGAGAAAATTCAAATGGAAAAACTCAGTCCCCTTTCCAGTACTACTACAGATGCAGAAAAAGCTTGGGTGAGTATCAAGGATTAAAATCCGAGGAGTGAATTTAGATGAGTTGTCAACTGTCATATAGCCCCAATGGGGTATCAGTTTCTTTACAAATACACAGATATTTACGTATCTTCACCTCGGAGGGTCTTAAACTTAAAACAAACAAACAAAAAACAACTCACGGTTGTAGTAAATACTTTAAAGGTTCTTAAAACACTGTGTTTTATAAAAATTATAAAACATTACAATTATAATAAGCCCATTATAAAAAAAGGCTATCCAAATAAGCTAAAAACCATGGAGCAGTTAGAGGCCTTTCCCCAATCTTAATCCATTCAGCAAGGGTCTACTAAGTGCTTATCAACAAGCTGCTGCTGTCTCCTTTAGTCGGGGAACCTTTTTTTTTCCCTCCCCCCTATTTCTTTTGTTGTTTTGATTTTACGTGGCCCAGGCTGGCCTCGAACTTACCGGCAATCCTCCTGCCTCCGCCTCACGTGTGCTCCATGAGATTCCTAGGCCACCTCACCCAGCCAAGCTAGTGAACTTTTTATCTTAACATGAGAGATACAATGAAGCGTCTCCCGACTACGGCCAGGAACTGGGGCGTGATGAATCGGGGATACGCTCCCAGCAGGCCGCGGCCCGGCCCGTTACCCTGGAGACGGCGCCCACTCGACCGCCCCACCCTGCCGCGCTACCTCGAGCTCCTGGTTCTCGCACTGATCCAGCAGCTTTCTGAAACTGAAGGCGCTGTCCGCCATCACCGCCACTGGCATCTTCCCGGCCGCTCTCGCCGCCACCGCCCCGCCAGACCAAAGCCCAAGCTGGCCCTCGGGGCGTCGCGCCCGCGATGACGTGAAGGCTGGCGCCGCTCGGTACGCTTGCGCGAGCGTGCTGTCATTTCCTGAGCGACGCCGTGGCGGAGAGAGCCGGGCGGCGAGCGCTCTAGCCCGCAATCTCGGTGCTCTGGAGGACCCGCCCCAGGCTCGAAAGAACCGGCTTTCTGAGCCGGACCACTCCGGTTGGGAGGGGCTGGCTGCGGCTCCGGTCTTCTGCTCTTGAAGGTGACAGCGGGAATGCATCTTTCATACCCACAGTTACAGTGGGAGAATAATAAAACCAGTGGATCTCCATGTGTTTTGAGAACGCATGTAAGCTAAGGTGTTACAAGCCGAGGAAATTTCAAAGCTGAAACTCTTCTTGGCTTGGACCATGCACACACACACCCCTCTTCTAACAATGCACCTGGCAGCCTGAGACCCTCACCTACACCCCTTCTCTGAAAATGCACACACACACACCCTTCTCTGAAAAAAAAAAAATCACCTAGCAACCGTCAACAACTCAGAACTCCTGTCCACAACTGCGTGGAGCCGCAGACACGTCCTCTCCAAGAAATGGAATAACTCTCTCCTCCCCTTACTGACCATTGAACAGTCTATTCAATAATACTCCAGTAATGTACGGGATGAGAGCAGGAGGTCTGATCTGGCCTGAACTGGTTTTAGGTGCCTGCCCAATAAGGCAAACAGTGTCTTCTAAGTGAGCTTGCTGGGAGAATTTCCTATTTACCATCTTATGCCTATACATACTTGTGCATGTGTATGATTAAAATTAAATACATTATAGGAGGGGTATGCACAGTAGAAAAAGAGGTAACATAGCTAAAATCTGTCAATCAAAATAGAGTACAATGCCCCCTAGCAATCAGACTTCTCTTAAACGCCATAAAAGCCCCAAACAGTAACTGGGGAACTAGCCTAGAGTATGCTGGCTCCTGTGGCCCACCATCATTTTGACAGCATATTTCTGTAGTGTTGCTTTGCTTTTGGATAAGGTTTCCTTGCTACTTTGCAAATCTGTGTGCCTAAATTTCAATTCTGTGCATGAGAAGTTATAAAAATAAAACAAAACAAAACAAAACACAAAACACCCAGCCCAGACCCTGGCCACCAAAAACAATACCCCTTAAATTTTATACAGTTCCCTAGTAAGCAATGCCATGAGCACCAACAACTGCCCCTTTGCTGTCTCCCCAGGCCTAATTGGCAGCACTGGAGATTGGACCACAGCCTTGTGCATGACAATTCTAACACTGAGTTGTATCTGTTATGCCCAGATCACAGGGACCCTCAAAAGACCACCACGGAGACCCAATCCCTCATGTAAAAGCAAAGAGCCTTTATTTCAAGCTCAGAGCTTGGTCCCTCTGTCTGTCCGACACAGCAGTGAAGCCCTGAACTCAGGTGAGGCAGAGTTTTTATCATAGCAGAGGTTGGGGGTGAGGGGATTTCCAGGGTCCAGGACCCTGATTGGCTGGCAATTGTCTAGGGATACCTTTAAAACAAAAAATAGGTGTGTGCTAGACTCAAGGACATTTGGCCACCTTATCTAATGGTTGAAATGTTTGGGATGTCAGGTACTTCCTCACCCCTGGGTGGTATCAGCTTAAGGCTTTTCCTGGATCTGGGTGTTGCCTGCCAGTAAGCCTCTCCCAGAAGCTGTGTCTCGGCCTCTAAGCCTGTCATGGCTGCTGTGTGGTCACGCTATTTTGGGGCTCCTTCACAGTATCCCTAGATCTCCTTTTGCTTATCTGGAGACAAGGTCTTACTGAGTTGCCCAGGATGGCCTTGAACTTATGGAAAAATCTCCAAACCTAACTCTCACTTTTCTCTCTACCCACCTCCTGATCAGCCCCTCCCATCTCAGTAGACCCCAGCACCATATTGCCCCCTGTGTGCATCTCATGCAGACACACACTGTACGTGAGTGAAGTCGCTCTAGCCTGGACCACTGGTGTGCCTGAACTTTGGTGGTCCCCTGATAAACAAGCACCCTTTGACTCTTCCTTGCCCTATGAATTCTCTTTGAAGCATAAGCCATATCTTTTTTGCTCTGCTGTTCAAACTCATGTGAACCAAAGTTCCCAGAAAGAAGCTACACTTCATAGACCGATGGACTGATTAGGGCTCTCCAGTGATTGTGGGGAGGAGGGCGGGAGGTTGCAGGTTCAGAGGAAAATTATCCCCCATCTTGGGCTGTCTACAGTTCCCTTGACAGCTCTTCCTTGCCCACTTGTGTCTGACCCAACAGCCCTCTGATTGGCAAGTGACACCTTTTGAAATATATTAACTTTACGGACTGCTGGCTCCTAAGAATCGTGAACACTCTGCTTACTCAATTATGCCATGACTCCCTTCCCTTGTGGTCATTTGGAGGTCTGCTGATCCTGCACCATTGTGTTCCCAGGAAGTTTTATGTTTGAGGTACGGCAGGAAAGTGAGGTCAAAATTAGCATATATAAGAAAGGAGGCTGGAAGCCTCCTTCCCATCAAGGCTGACATGCACCGGAGTCTGGCCAAAAAGAATGTATGTACTGTATAAATGCCCCGATCTGCAGTCAGTGCCCACTGAGCTTTAGAACTTTCTCCAGCACTGCCCACTTCCATTCTCAGAAGTGCATCTTTGTCTTACTAAGCTCTCTCTTCTTCTGTTCCCACGCAGATGTCTCTGTCTAAGTCCTTGTTTAGGGATGTAAGAACCTGGAAGTCCCTGTGGGTGCCTACCAGACCCTGTAGTTGCCTATAACAATGGTGCACTGCGATTGCTCTATGGAATGGCAGTGGGCATGCTTATGACATAGATTCTCGAAGCTCATGTGTGTGCTCTGTTGTCTTAAAGGACCTCACTAATAAAACCCACATTTTAGAGAAATATCAAACACTTTAAGACAGCAACAGCTATCACTGATGATTTTAGTATAATGAAGAGAACTGTTTAGAAATAATCATGTTTAATGTTATGGTTAGAATATAAAGATTAGGAGCCAGAGAGATGGCTCAGCAGTTAAAAGCATATGTTGCCCTTGCAAAGGATCTGGATTTAGTTTCTGCTACCCACTTCAGGCAACTCACAATGCAGCTGCCTGTAACTCCAGCTCTAGAATCTAATACCTTTGGACTCCAAGGGCACGTGCACACACACACATGCACCTGCACACACACACACACACACACACACACGCACGCACGCACACACACACAAATAATCATAATAGTAATAATGATAAATATTTTACAGTAGAATATAAAAATTTAAAAACAGTTAAAATATTTTAAAATTTCACAAATGATTGTCATTAGATTATAGTTTTGATCTTTAAAACCCTAGCAGAGGGTCCAAGCATTGCCTTAGTCCCCACCTCGGCACTCTTGGGGCTGCTGGGAACTTTAAGAGGCGAGACCTAGTGATGAGACCTTAGGGTCACTGGGAGCATCCCCTTGAGGAGGATAGGGGGACAGCAGTCCCCTCTCCCTTCTCTGTTTCACTGCTGGCCATGAGGGGAGCTGTATTGCCCTGCCACAAGATCCCACCAGCATGTGCTTTCAGAGGCCAAAAGAGGTGAAGCTGCCTGACCTTGGACCAGAAACCCAAAGACTGCGTGCGAGCCCAGACATGCCTTCTCTCCTTGTGAGCTGCTTATCTCAGCTATTTATTACAGTGACGGGAGACACACTAACACACAGACACAGCCAGGAGAGCACATGGCTGCCATAACCAGAGGGATGTGGGGGAATAAAGTAGCAGGGCTTTGTCAACAGCCGCAAAGAGATAGGCTCTGCTAACATGATCCAGAGATCATTTACGTAAAGCTGATGGCCGGGATTTCAAAGCTCAGTAAGTGATAGTGACTTTTCAGTCTGTTTGAGGCTATGGGGGAAGTGTGGGCTCCTGGGGATGGGGATCTGGGTTTTGTAGCCATGGCCCCAAGTCCTCCCATGTACAGCTGGCTCTCTGCCTTCTGTAGCTCTTTTCATGGGGAGGAGTGGTCAGAAGGCTAGACTCTTACCAGCGTAGCCTATTCAGAGTTCTGTACTTTCTACCTCTTGATCTGTTTCAAAAGTTGTCTGCTCCATTCTGGAGTCATTTAAAATACATAAAGAGATGTCCTCAAGGACTTGGGTTCCCTCTAGAACAATTGTTCTCAACTTTCCTAATGCTGCAACCCTTTAATACAGTTCCTCATGTTGTAGTAACGCCAACCATAAAATTATTTTCTTGCTACTTCATAACTGTCATTTTGCTATTGTTATGAATCATAATGTAAATATCTGATGTTTCTGATGGTCTTAGGCGACCCCGATAAAAGGGTTGTTAGAGCCCCCAAAGGGGTCACGATCCACAGGTTGAGAACCACTACTCTAGAAGGATCCATGCTATCAACCCACCCTGGCCAGCAAAGATAAGTCTCCAAGGATTGAAGGACATGCCGAAGATCTGCTTGAGGGGATCAGGAGACTCAAGGCACTTGAGCTCAAGAGTAGTGCGACAAAGCACTTTTCATTTTCTTACTAAAACAGGCAAAACACGAGGTGATATTTACAGTCAACTTAAGCAAATACAAGTGCAGTGGGGGAGTACATCTGATGTAATTAATGCCTTATGAATATTATCTTTGGTCCTGTTGAAGAGCCAAGAGTGTTCCTCCCAGGCCTTCACCCTTCCCACAAAGATAATGTGGCATTTCCTTCATCCCCTTGCTTTCAAATGCATCCACTTATCGTAGTTTCTGGAATTCTTTCTAGAAGGCCTCCTTGTGGGAAGAGCATTCCTACCATAGTTCACAGTAAGTTCACAGCTTTCTTCCATAGGCTCCCGCACCATGCCAGCTGTCTGTTTGCCTCAGAACCAGAGTTGCCTTGGCTGGCCTTGATGCTACATCAAGGGAAACCAGAAGGAACAGTCACTGAGTGGCTAGCTCTCTGCCATGGGTCTTCTGTTTCCTCTGTCTTAGGATGACTGCATTGTGCCAACCAGCATCACACCAGGAAGCAGGGGATGCTCAGGCTGGGGATGTA